TTTTAATTGTAGTGTCTGTTCTTTTACTGAACTAAATTATTTTTATTTCTATAAAAAAATCAAAACGACGGTGGGGGTCGGTGACGCGGTGGGCAAGTGACGTAACCGGTGTTGCGGCTTAACACCGGTATCACCGTCAGCACCGTCTATCGCGGCAAGCCTAGTGTGTATGTGTTTCTGTTTGCACACAGCTTTCCCTGTCAAACTAATAAAAATTCTAAATATCAGGTTGGGTCGGGAAATGTTGAGACTGTCGAGTTCCGATGCCTTTCTCCAATCCGCGTCTTGCGCGTTCTTTCACTGCATGATTCAGTTTATTAAAATGCATTTAATGATCACAAAATTCAAGATATCGGGGGAGAAATTTATATATTTGTATAATTTCATATAGTTAATCAGTATCACGCGAAGACTGACGTTTTTCCCACCAAAAAAAGCAGCATGGTTACAAATGTGATATTGGTTTTATAAAGCAGTTCAATAAACAAGAATTTAATATTAAGATACTTACGTTTTAGACACAATATTGACTGTTTTTGGTCCATTTCGCCAACAAATATAATTCCAATTTGCATCTCTGAGCAACTTGACGCTGTTTTGTTCCTGAATGAATCAACCGTTTAAATGATTCGGTTCAGTCGCAATGACTCACTTATTAACAGTTCAGCGCATTTTTTAGACGGACAAATATGACTGCCTCACTCACGTCTCACACAAGAGATGTAGCCATGCAAAGTTATAAAAGAGTTTAAACGTTTAGAAAACGTAGCGAATTTGTGAAGGTTTATTTCATTTCACTGCGTCTCATATGTTTTTAAATGAAATCTGTGTGAATGGCGCTTCGGCTCTTTATATTAAGCAATGCATAAATACATGATGCTGTTTTGTTCATAATTGTTTATGCAATTTACGAAATTATATATGATTTATATATGTTAATTTAGACTTTTATGTACGTTTTTTATGGACAGCTGTTATTTCATTACATTGAATAAACAAATCAATGTGCTGCATTATTTTGCTCATTGCGCTCTCCTGTGGCCTCGGGAGACAAGACAAAAGTTTCCTTAAGACTTATTTAATCTGCATATAAAACATAAGAAAGAAGATATTTGTTTAAATGTAATTTTGTGTTTGACTTAAAACTAAACAAAAAAAAATATTTGTTGTCTATACCGAACGATATGAAACATTATATCGTTGATAAATTTTTTTAGTTATATCGCCCAGCCCTAGTTTGAAAATTAGTGAGGGGTGGGGTGAGGGCAATTGTGCTATAATAACCCCTACAAATAACTCATTATAACACTTTAAAAGAGACAGAGATGTAGATGTTTGTGAAAGGTTTGGCCAATTTAAGCACCCATAAACAACGCAAAACACTGGCATTTTGAGTTTCTGCTAGTGATTCCTATGGAGAGAAAAATCACTTCCTGCCCTCCAGCTGAATTTCGCGCGTCATCAGTGACGTCATGTGCAAACAACCTATTGCAGGCGATGCAGTGTTGCCATATATTGCTATAAAAACCGAAAAATAAATAACAAATAAACCGAAATTATTCTTAAATAATATAAGATAAAAATATCACTGACCCTAAACTTCAACTTCCCACTATATTAATTTTCTAAAGTGCCAAATTAAGTGGAAAAGACAAGTCCAAAAAAGATTATAATAGCTGGATCTGGCAACACGGAGGCTGTGCCCTCACTTACACACAACTCTCTCAAGACTCGCAGTGATCATGCTCATACCACGGATGCTAACATGATTCTTGCAAACTGTCTTAACTGAATTATGCACGCAGACATTCATATGATGAGTTTTAAACCGCAAATTAGTCATTCAGAAAACAAATTTTATTTTTGAATGGGGATGTAACGATTCACTCAAGTCACGATTCGATTCTATTCACGATTTTTTTTTT